ACTCTTTTCTAAATTAACTCTGTTCTAAAAAACAAAAGTCTATTAATAATATACTTTTTAGTAGAGTAATTTTATTTATTTATTTACTTGCTTGAGAGGCAGTTACAGAGAGAGAGAGGGAGAGACAGAGAGAGGTCGTCTGTCTGCTGGTTTACTCCCCAAATGATCATAATGGCCAGAGCTGCCCCGATCCAAAGCCAGAAGCCTGGAGCTTCTCCCAGGTCTCTCTGCTTCTGGGCCCAGATGCTGTCCCCATCACCTGCAACACTTCAGCGCTGCACCCCTCCCAGCCCCCCTGCATGTCACTTCCTCAACCCTGGCTTCTGACACCACCACTTGAAAGCTTTTAAGTCCCCTAATTTCTGCCAGGATCTTCGTGTTGCAACCAAAGAGCCTAGTGTGGGGACCAGTGCTGTGGCATAGCAGGTAAAGCCACCACTTGTAATGCCAGCTTTCCATATGGGCGCTGGTTCATACCCTGGCTGCTCCACTTCTGATCTAGCTTACTGCTAATGGCCTGGGAAAGCAGTGGAGGATGTTTTTTGCTAAGAGTTTTATAGTTTTACCTTTTATATTGACATCTTTGAATTAATTCTTGTACATGTATAGAGTCCAACTTCATTCTATTGCACTTGGAAATCCGGTTTCCCAACAACATTTGTTAAAACTACTATTTTTCCTTCATTGAACATCTTGGTGCCTTTGTCAAAAAACAATTGATAACTGTGAGGGTTAATTTCCGGGTTCTTATTGTATTCCATTGGTCTTCATCTCCATCCTTACGAGAGTACTATATTGTTTTGGTTACTGTGGCTTTATAGTAACCTTTGAAAGCAGGAAAAATGGATCCTGTAATTTTGTTCTTTTTGTTTCTCCAATTTGGGCTTCTTAGGGTCCCTTGAGACATCACGTGCATTTAAGGGTTCACTTTTCTATTTGTGTAAAGTGCTATTCAAATTTTTATAAGAATGCCTCAGTGGGCAGATTGCCATGGTCTTGTTCTCATCTTAAATATATTAAGTCTTCCAATCCATGAGCATGAGATGTCTTTCCATTTGCTTTGATTTTCTTTAAGCAATATTTTATAGTCTTCGATACACAAATCTATTGCTGCCCTGGTTAATTTTGTTTTTTGCTAAGTATTTCATTATTTTTGATGCCATATTAATGGAGTTTTTAAAAACATCCCTTTTAGAGAGAACGATCCAACATGGGAAGCGGGATACACAGCAGACTCATAGAATGGCAGATGCCCTAAACAGCACTCTGGCCTCAGAATCAGCCCTTGAAGCATGAGGATCCGGCTGAAAAGCCCATGAGAGTATTTCAGGCATGGAAAGCCAAGACACACACACACACACACACACACACACACACACACACACACACAAACCTAAATGAAAGATCTCCATAAGTGAGATCCCAGTGAAAAGAACAGGTCATCAAAGAAGGAGGTACCTTTCTGTGAAGGGGGGAGAGAACTTCCACTTTGACTACGACATTGTCTAAATATGATCAGAGTCGGTGAACTCAAAAGGCTTCCATAGCCTTGGCAACTCATGACAAGAACCTAGGGTGATTACTGATGCCATAAACAAGAGTGCCAATTTGTTAAGTCAACAACAGGAGTCACTATGCACTTACTTCTCATGTAGGATCTCTGTCTTTAATGTGCTGTACATTGTGATTTAATGCTATAACTAGTACTCAAACAGTATTTTTCATTTGGTGTTTCTGTGTGGGACCAAACTGTTGAAATCTTTACTTAATATATGCCAAACTGATCTTCTGTATATAAAGAGAATTGAAAATGAATCTTGATGTGAATGGAAGGGGAGAGGGAGCGGGAAAGGGGAGGGTTGTGGGTGGGAGGGAAGTTATCGGGGAGGGGGGGAGCCATTGTAATCCATAAGCTGTACTTTGGAAATTTATATTCATTAAATAAAAGTTAAAAAAATAAAAAAATTAAAAAAATAAAAAAACATCCCTTTTAGGTTGCTCATTGCAAATATGTAGAAATAAAACTGATTTTTTGCATGTTGATTTATATTCTGCAGCTTTGTTAAATTTATTTGTTAGCTCTAACTATTTCATTGGGGTTTCTCTATGGTTTTCCATTTATAAGATCATGTCGTCTGCAAATGAAGATAATTTTATGTCTTCTTAAAAATATTTTATTTATCTGCATTTTATTTGAAAAGCAGAGGCACAGGAATAGAGACAGAGAAAAAGGCACAGAGAGATCTTCCATGTGATGGTTCATTCTCCATTGCCAACAACAGCCAGGTCTGGGCCAGGCTGTGCCAGAATGTAATCCGGGTCTCCCATGGACTTGAGTCATTGCCTGCTGCTTCCCAGCATATGCGCTAGCAGGAAGCCAGGTCAGAAGCTGGATACCTGAGAGCTGAACCCGGCACTCTAATAGGGATGTGGGCATCCCACGTAGCTGCCGTGCCACACTACAGCCCCTACGTCTTCGGCTTGGGTTCAGATGTCTTTGATTTGTTTTTATTGCCTTTCAATCTCACTGGAGCTTACTTTAATATGATGATTAGAATAAGAGAACACGGACATCCTGTGCCCAATCTTAGGGCAAAAGTTTTCAGTCTCTCACCGTTTGACATGATGTCAACTGTTAACTTTTCAGATAAGTCTTTAAATGTTAAGGACATTCCCCTCCATCCCTAATTTATTGAATTTTTTAACCATGAAAAGGTGTTGAAAGTTGTCAGTACTTTTTCTGCATCAATTGAGATATCCATATATTTTTCTTCATTAATGTGATATAATGATTCATTTTCATATGTTGAACCATCCTTACATTCCAGCAATAAACCCTTTTTGGTTATGATATATAATCCTTGTGATAGGCTGTTGAATTCTGTTTGCTGGTGTTATGTTGAATGGTTTTAAACCTGTACTCATAAGGGACATGCATCTGTAGTTTTCTTTTTGTTGTAGTTTCTTGGTCTGGTTTTGTTATCAGGGTAATTCTAGTCTTATAGAGTAAGTTAGGCAGTATGAAAAAGTTTGAGAAGAACTAGTATTAATTGTTTAAATGTTTGGTGTTATTCACTACCAGGTAGTAGAAGCCTTCTGGTCCTAGGTTTTCTTTGTTGGCAGATTTTGGTTACTCATGCAGTCTCCTTACCAATCGTAGGTCCATTCAGCTTGTCTATTTCTTCTTGAGTTAGTTTTGGAAGATTATGCATTTCTAGGAATTTTCATTTTGTCTGCTTTTTTTTTTAAAGAATTATTTTATTTATTTGAAAGACAGTGTTACAGAGAGAGGTAGAGACAGAGAGAGAGGTTTTCCATCCGCTCCCCAGATGGCCGCCACGGCCGGAGCTGTGCCAATCCAAAGCCAGGAGCCAGGAGCTTCTTCTGGGTCTCCCATGTGGGTGCAGAAGCCCAAGGACTTAGGCCATCTTCTACTGCTTTCCCAGGCCACAGCAGAAAGCTGGATTGGAAGAGGAGCAGCCGGGACTAGAACCAGCGCCCATATGGGATGCCGGCGCTTCAAGCCAGGGCTTTTAACCCGCTGCATCATAGTGCCGGCCCCAATAAAAATAAATCTTAAAAAAAAAAAGTTCACAGAAAATGGAACTAAAAGGGAAGTTTATTTTGGTTTATTTATTTGCCTAGGCATGCCACGCAAGTCCCCAAAGGTATTTTACCAATTTAGCCTCCCAATAGTGGTGTGTGAATGTTTCCATAACTCTGTGTCCTAGCCAATACTTGGGACTGGCATAGTCAGACCTTTTAAGTTTTGAGAGGCTAATGGGTATGAAATTGTACCTTACTGTGGTTTTAATTTACATTTCTGATCGCCAACAAGTTGAGTGCCTTATATGGTTTATATTGGTTGTATAATCCAGGGAGCTGGATTGGAAGTGGAGCAGCCAGGACTCAAACTGGCGCCCATACTGGATGCTGGTATCACATGTGGCGGCTTTACCTGCTATGCCACACCTAGAAGTTGACATCCTAGTCACACATGGAGCAATGATTTTTTTTCCCCGAGTGGTAGAAAGTCTTGGCTGTTAATGGTTCGTGACTTTCCAAAGGGCTGCATTACATGAGCAATGCACTATCCACCAGTGGGATTAAAATTTCACTGGGGACACTAGGAGATCAGGACACCAATGTGCAGAAGGCTCCTGAGCAGGCCTAGAGAAACTCCCAGACACCTGCAAGGAAGCATGGGGATGCGCCTGCGCCAGCGCGGGACGCAGCATGCTCCGGTCCAGCCGTGCAAGGGGAATCATTTGTGAAACACTAGACTGAGCGTCGGTGAAAACGAGACCACACAACTGTACCGGCCATTGCGGGAGGACGGCCAGAGAAGAGTTCCTGAATGGCTGCGTTTCTGTAGCCTCAAAACCAGGCACTACTGGACAGAAATTAGCACCGAAACAGACACGAGCGTGGGAAGGATTTACAGAATGTTCCAACTGTTGGGTGCCTGTGAAGGCGAGAGATGACACTGAGACTGCAGTGGGCCTACGCAGGGCATAGTCTAAGATTCTGGAGTTTTGCTTAAGCAGCATTCTAGGGACCAGGACCTTCCACTGCTTTCCCAGGCCATAGCAGAGATCGGGATAGGAAGTGGAACAGCCGGGACTTGAACCGGCGCCGACATGGGATGCCGGCACTGCAGGCGGCGGCTTTACCCACTACGCCACAGTGCCGACCCTCTAGCATTTTCTTTAAGGGCCTGTCCAACAGCTAACACACTGGAAAATGGTTTGTACTGAAGGCCCTGGGAACAGATCCTGAGCCTGGAGCTGCAGCTCATCTTTGTGTTTTGGGATCTTCTGGTCGTTCTGGGCTCCGTGGCGGGTGACTGGCGGGGTCGTGTGAGCCAGCAGGTGCATTCTTGCCACATTCCCGCAGGCAGCAGGAGCCTCTCACGGGAAGGGGAGGGGGAGTCGGCTCTGAGACTTTGTTCTGCCTGCTGCGCCTCTGCCCTCCCCTGCCAGCTGCTGTCTCTCTTTCAGCCATGCCCGATGGAGTCCTGGACACAGTTGTCCGCGCTGATGAGGCGGGGAGCGAGGAGGACCTGTATGAGGACCTGCACGGTTCCAGCCACCACTACAGCCACCCTGGAGGGGGCGGTGAGCAGCTGGCCATCAATGAGGTAGGGTCACAGCTGAGCGGGTGGAGGAGAGAACCAGGGCGGGACTTGACCGCAGGCCTGATGGTCAGGGGGGCTCCTGTTGCACTGTTGCCGGCCAGATGTGCACAGCTGTGTTCCAGAACAGACGGCAGCGGTGCCACCGGGCCCACAGCGCAGCTGCAGCCGGTGGTGTCCCGAGCAGAGTCTGTCCAAACGGTGCGGTCCCCTGTGCCCTCATGGAGTCCGCGGGTAATGGGCGGAGCAGGCACACTGTCCCCGCAGGCTCACCGGCATACCCCCGCCCCCTTCAGCAAAGCCGGCCTGGCTGGAGAAGACTGCGTGGTGCGCGGGGAGGGGGAAGGGTGGGGGCGGGGTTTCCAGCACTCCAACAAGTAGCCCGGGCAGACTGGGGGACAAAGCCAGTGAAACCAATTTTCTCCCACGGACACCAAGAGCTCAGAAGTGTGCAGTTGCTATGACAACCATATGCCAGTTACCATTTTTTGCTGTTCCTTCAGAGCGGAGGAAGGAGCAAACCCCATCTGGATAGAACTGGAGTCCCATCCCAGCTTCTCCTTTCACTTTCTCCAAGGAGAGAGAAGCGTGGGGCTTTCGGGCTTCTCTCCTGCTGTCTCCAATCCTGGGCTCTTGCACTCCTTTCTTGAATGGGTGGACACAAGAGAGAGTTTAACCAAACATGCAGAACAAGCGCCAACCCCCACCCCATACCCCCCAGTCCTTTCTGCTCCATGAAAACCGGAGCCTAACAACGCAGATCTTGCCACACTTGCCACACTCGGACACTTTCCTCCAGAGGGGATCGATTGCCAAAAAAAAAAAAAAAAAAAAAAAAAATCGGCCTTTAGTGAATGCATGCTTGGGAACTTCTCAGAAACCAGAGCGGAACAGGGGTCCTCCTCATCCGCACAGCACAGCGGTGGAGCCCAGGGCCAGCCAGTCCGCTCTGCATAATGACCTACAACAGTCATTAAATAATGCTTCAGGGAAAACCCTTGTTGCATAGCGAATACAGTGCAAATAAGTCTTTTCAACAAATGAAACTGTTAAGTGCCTCTCATGAGCTACAGTACACAGGAGGGGCTCTTCAAAAAGTTCATGGAAATGCATATTATGAAAAGGTGTGCATGGGCTTCAAACGTGTTTTGCACCAAAATACACTTATATTAAAAAAAAAAAAAAAAAAGGAAAAGCAGACACAGTGGCTAGCATTGTTGCACAATACAGGAAGCCACAGCCTGAGAGGTTATCATACCGGGAGCACAGGTTTGAGTGCCAGCTGCTGTGATTCCAACTTCCTGCTGATGGCACCTGCGAAAGCAGTGGAAGATGAGTCCTTGCACCCATGTGGGAGACCTGGATAGAGTTCCATGCTCTTGGCTTTGGCCTCACCCAGCCCCAGCTGTTGAGGCCATTTGGGGAGTGAACCAGTGGATGGAAGATTTCTCTGTCTCTCTATCTCTGTCTCTGTCTCTGTCTCTCTCTCTCTCTGTAATTCTGCCTTTTAAACAAATAATTCTTTTCTAAAAATGATTCCAACTTTTTTTTTAAGATTTATTGATTTTACTTGAAAGTCAAAGTTACACGGAGAGAGAAGGAGAGGCTAAAAGAGAGAGGTCTTCCATCCGCTGGTTTACTCCCCAGTTGGCCGCAACAGCTGGAGCTGTGCTGATCCGAAGCCAGGAGCCAGGAGCTTCTTCCAGGTCTCCCATGTGGATGCAGGGGCCCGAAGACCCGGGCCATCCTCCACTGATTTCCCAGGCCGTAGCAGAGAGCTGGATCGGAAGTAGAGCAGCCGGGACTGGAACTGGTGCCCATATGGGATGCTGACACTGCAGGTGGCGACCCTATCCACTACACCACAGCACCACCCCAATGCTAACTTTTTAAAATTTTGATTTTATTTACTTGAGCGAGAGAGAGAGAGAGAGAGAGAGAGGCCGGCTCCCTAAACTTTACTCACAACAGTTGGAGACCGAAGCAGCTAAGAACGCAATCAGGTCTCCCACATGGGTGGCAGGCAGGAACCCAAGTATCTGAGCCATCACTGTTGCCTCCCAGAGTCCTCCTGGTGTGAAGGCAGAGTCAGGAGCCAGAGCCAGGTATGAGATCGAGGCGCTCAGTGTTGGACACATGGATCTTCACCGGCATCTTAACTGAGTTTATCTTTGAATTTCGTATTTCCCACGAACTCCTTGAAGTACCCTTCTATTTTGGACAGAAGATGTCCTGGAATCAGGTTATCATAGGCAGAACTCACAGCGAATGGCTGGGCTTCTTCTGGCAGACCCAGGCTTCCTCCTCCATCCTGGGAGACAGGGGGTCTAGGATGTTGGGGCTGACGACAGTGGTGGTGTGGTGTGCAGAGCAGGTGACGGTCTAAGCGTGGCCTGGTTGCTGGGCTGTGAAACAAACTGTGAGGCTGCTGAGTTCCCCCTGAGCTCCCAGTGATCAGGATGACAGGGACTGCAAGGAGGTAGGGGTTACTTGCCTGGCCTTAGCTGTTGCGTTCCTAGAGTTGCATTGTCTGCATATGACAGATGCTCTCTCTCCTGCCTCATGGTGAAATTGTGGGCAGCCACAGCTTACTGCTGGTGAGGAGGTGCCTTTCGGGCCTGGAGAGGAGGTGGGGGAGGTGGATTCTTGAGCAGTTTGTCATTCTAAGAGGGCTCAGCCAAGGAGAACAAGCCAAGAGTCAGGACTGGTGGAGGCCCTGGCACCGGGGCACGTCCACGGGGAAACAGGTACGGCAGCTGACGACGAACTGCGTCAGCATCTGTCTAGGCCTCTCAGGGAGTGCTCCCTGTGTGGTTCGAAGGTGCATCTTGCTATTGGAGGTCCCTGGGGAGGTCTTCATGTGCTCAGTATTTTCCAGAACTCTTGGTCCTCCCTGGACCCTGGACAGGAAGAGCACTGCCCTCATCTGTGTCCCCAGGAGGGAGGACCTGCCACATCTCAAAGGGGACAGCAAGCAGGGCTGAGAGAGCCTGTCTCCAGCAGCCACAGTAGGCTGTGCAGTGGGCGGCATCCACCCTCAGCCTCCCCTTCACTTCCAAGTCAGGATGCAAGCAGGCCAAGAGGCACTGCCCAGAGAGAGGCCAAGTGCTGCGGCCGCCGGGCCCTGGGTGTGATGGAGGACGTGTGGCCGGGCAGTGATTGTCATCGTGCGGTGGACGTGGCACCTGAGCAGGGCTGCTGGGTCTTCACTGCTCCCGGCTTGCACGGGGGACTCAGGAAAGGTAGCAGCTATTAGGACGGGCTGGAGGCACTCAGTACACTCAACCTTATCAGACACTCTGGGGGAAAACTGTGAGACGTGATTGTCCAATGACAGGCCACTGTACCCTGGCCTTCCCACCCCTCGGGCACTTGCTATCTCTCCCAGGAGCTAGGGCAGAAGCTAGGCTGGAGGTTCACCTGGGTTTTGTAGCTGGAGGTTATCAAAGCAACAGATGGCAGAGAAAAGTCTGCATTCACAACTTACTCTTTGGCTTGCTCCAGAGCCACATATGCACTTATATTTTCTTAGAATACACAAGCGCACTGTCCAAAATTGGCAGGGTTCTTGTACCTGTTGACTTCAGAAGGGGCAGCCACTTCTTGATCGGCTCAGCAGAAGGGGATCCAAACCCTCTGACTTGGAGAGCAGTAGATGCAGGGGCCAGAGAGGCAGTTGGTATCCTGGGCGCCTGAGCAGTGAGTTTTACACACACACACGTTTGTGTACGTGTGTGCACATGGTGCGTGAGAGGGTGATGGGTATGATACATGCATGCGCCACACATGTAACTGAGCACCTACCATGTGCTAGCAACCCTGGGAGACAGCTGTACCAAAGACACACAGGCAGCTGGCTGTGCAGGAGGAAGAGTTGGGGGGGGGGCACCTGTGTTTTTCTGTGTGTGCTTGGAGGATGAGAAGGAGACACAAGGTCTTGTGTTTTCTGTTTTCCTGCACAGACGTGTGCCTGGCCCCTTGTGGTTGCCCAGACCTGGCAAGATAAATCAACAAGTGCAGAATGTTCCCTTCTTCTTCTGTCCTTATCCCCTCTAATGCCTTCTCCAGTCGCCTGTGCCACCACCATCCCTACAATCAGGCCTCAGGCCATGCTGGGTGCAGAACCTATTTCTGAAGAGGTGTCTCTGACCCTGTGTCTCTGGAAGACTTTCCCTATGCGTGATGGCCCAACCCCCAGCCCCCACACTGGCCTTGCTGCTGGTGCCTGTGGTGATGAGTGCAGGCAGGGGACAAGGTCTCCTGCTGCCCACCTCACCACCACGGACAGCAGCCTGTCCCCTGTGGGTCAGGCCCCAGCTGGAGCTGCACGTGGCTCTCTCCTCTCCCCACACCTCCCTGAGGGCCTTGAGGTGCCAGGTGTGCCTTGTGTGTGCCTGTGTATGCAGCTGACCCATCTCCCTGCTCCAGGACACAGAGAGGAGGGCTGTCCGTGGCTTCTGGAGTGTCTTGCAGAGACGAGACGAAGCCCACATGAGGAGGCAGAAGGGCAGATGTGAGCAGTGAGCTGTAGAACTTGTCATCCAAGCTGGCCTCAAGCATAAAAGGGAGTGCTGGTCGACCCTCCAGGCCCGCACAGCAGCAGAAGCAGGACTACCCGAGCCGGTGCCCTAGGACAAAAGGCAGGCTCCTCACGCCTCCCCTCTGGCACTTCGTCACGGACCATTTAGAGGATGCTGCAGGACAAGAGGCCAGCTCTCAGCTGCCTGTCTGCGGAGTGAGTCTGACTCTCTGGCTCCAGGGCTCTGTGTCTTTCAGGAGCTCCTGGGAGGCAAGGATGCAGCCATCCAGACTGAAACCCATGAGCACCTAGGCCCTTTGTTGTATTTTTGGTCATAGATAACACATACATAAAAGCTGTTGCCACCTGCTCAGCTCCCTGGGATAGACAAGCTGGGTCCCTGGGCAGCGGGAAGGGCCGGTGCCACATCCAGTCCTTCCTAGGCTGCCCTGATGTTGTGTGGGACTCAGGCCTTGCCCAGGCTGGG